AATTTATATATAATTTATAACCTTATATATTATAATTTACAGTCATCATGTTCTATATATGATTTATTAACATATTGATATATTTATGGTAGAAGCTATATGTTGATATATTCATTACAGTAATTATGTGTGATTTATTAATGTATTGATATATTTATGATATATTTAGCTTATAAATTATATATATGATGTATTAACATTGATATATTAGTGATAGAGATTAAATATTGACATAGTCCAGAATTATATATAGATTTACTAATATATTGATATATTATGGCTTATCTATTATAGAAATTATATATGCATATGTATTTATATGTTTATCAGAAATTATGGGTTCAACCTCTTAATGTATTGATATATTATTAAATATATTATGATATATCTATGATAGAAATTATGGATGTGATTTATTAATGCATTTATTAATGTATTGATATATTATGATATATGTCATGATATGTCTATGATGGGAATTATATATGGATGTATTTATCCTAGGGATTATGGATGTGATTTATCAATATATTGATATATTACATACCTATGATAGGAATTATATATGGATATATTTATCATAAGGATTATGGATGTGATTTATTAATGTATTGATATAATTATGATACATTCATGATAGAAGTTATATATGGATTTAATATCCCCAGGGGCTGGAAGGCTCCTGAGCTCCATCTCCCCCTTTTATTAATAATTCCTGGGGGTTTTATCCTGTTTTCTACCCCCAAATCCCCATCTGGGAGGGGCTGGAAGGCCCCTGAGCTCCCCCTTTTATTAATAATTCCTGAGAGTTTTATCCTGTTTTCTGCCCCCAAATCCTGGTGTGGGAGGGGCTGAGGAAGCTCCTGAGCTCCATCTCCCCCTTTTATTAATAATTCCTGGAGGTTTTATCCTGTTTTCTGCCCCCAAATCCCAGTGTGGGAGGGACTGGGGAAGCTCCTGAGCTCCATCTCCCCCTTTTATTAATAATTCCTGGGGGTTTTATCCTGTTTTCTGCCCCCAAATCCCCATGTGGGAGGGTCTGGGGAGGCTCCTGAGCTCCATCTCCCCCTTTTTTCTCTCCCAAGCAGCGAGGATGGATCCGAAGGCGACGCCTCCGTGTCCAACAAGTTCGTGAACGACGGGAGTTTCCTGCAGCAGTTCCTCAAGCTCCAGAAGGAAAAGTCGAGTGCTGGTAGGTCCATCCCGAGCTCCAAGCTCTGGGAAAAGTCCCTGCTCCTGCCTAAACCCCTGCTAGGAGGTTCTGAGGCGATGATTATCCCTGAAAATTGGGGTTAAAGCCTGGATTTGGGATGCTCCGGGAAGGTTTTTCCCTCTTTCTTTTCATCCTCCCTGTGCTGTGAAGTCGAGCAGTTCTGTTCTGGCTTGAATCTCACTTTGTGAAAAGTCATCAGCAGGGGTTTTTTTTGGCTTGTGTTTTAAATTAAATTAAATTTAAATTAAATGAATAATAACAGATCGCTTGAATTTTAATGTTTTGAATTTAATGATATTTATTTAAAATTTCTTAACATTTCTTAAAGCCCAGTTCCTTGGGGTCCAGTTCCTTGGGGTCCAATTCCTGTCCAGTTCCTTGAAGTCCAATTCTTTTCCAGTTTTTGGAGTCCAGTTCCTTTCCAAGAATTTTGACTGGAAGAAATTTTCCTGCAGTTTTCCTCCAATGTTTCCTCCCAACGTTTCCTTCCAATGTTGTTTCCTTCCAATGTTTCCTTCCAATGTTGTTTCCTTCCAAATTTTCCTCAGATTTTTCTCAGATTTTCCTCAAAATTTCCTCAGATTTCCCTCAAAATTTCCTCAGATTTTCCTCAAATTTCCCTCAGATTTTCCTCAATTTTCCTCAGATTTCCCTCAAATTTCCCTCAAATTTCCCTCAAATTTCCCTCAAATTTCCCTCAAAATTTCCTCAGATTTTCCTCAAATTTCCCTCAGATTTTCCTCAGATTTTCCTCAGATTTCCCTCAGATTTCCCTCAGATTTCCCTCAGATTTCCCTCAGATTTCCCTCAAATTTCCCTCAAATTTCCCTCAAATTTCCCTCAAATTCCCTTTACTAAATTTACCTAATAATAAATTTAATTAATTCACTTAATTAAACCCAAAACTCCACTACTTTTACACCTCTTTCCCCCTCAGCACCTCACATCCCCCCCCCCCCCCCCCCCCCCCCCAACCAGCCCCGGACCCCAGGAATCCTCTCCCTTTGTCCCCCCTCAGAGCCCCCCCCGAGCTCCAGCAGCAGCAATCCCGGCCACGCTCCGGCCCCGAGCTCTGGGAAGCGGCTCCCCGGGAAGCGGCAGCTCCTGAGCCGGATGCTGCACCAGGCCCGGAGCCTCCCCCAGCCCCGGCCCGGCCCCGGCCTGGCCCTGGACAGCGTCTTCCAGGGCCCCGACGAGGACGACGACGAGGACTACGAGCAGTGGCTGGAGATCAAAGGTCAGTGATTCCCTGGGCTCCATCAGTTTGGGAAGCAGGAACACCCATCCTGGGATAGGGGTTTAGTGTAGGGACAGGACTACGAGCAGTGGTTGGAGATCAAAGGTCAATGTTCCCTGTGCTCCATCAGTTTGGGAAGCAGGAACACCCATCCTGGGATAGGGGTTCAGTGTAGGGACAGTGTAGGACTACGAGCAATGGCTGGAGATCAAAGGTCAGTGATTCCCTGTGTTCCATTTGGGATGCAGGAACACCCATCCTGGGATAAGGGGCAGTGTAGGGGCAGGACTATGAGCAGTGGCTGGAGATCAAAGGTCAGTGATTCCCTGTGCTCCATCAGTTTGGGAAGCAGGAACACCCATCCTGGGATAGGGGTTTAGTGTAGGGACAGGACTACGAGCAGTGGCTGGAGATCAAAGGTCAATGTTCCCTGTGCTCCAGAGCTTTGGGATGCAGGAACACCCATCCTGGGGTAGAGGCTCAGTGTAGGAACCTGTGCTCCATCAGTTTGGGATGTAGGAGCACCCATCCTGGGAGAAGGGTCAGTGTAGGGACCTGTGTTTCATTTGGGATGCAGGATCACCAATCCTGGGATAGGGGCTCAGTGTAGGATCCTGTGCTCCATCAGTTTGAGATGTAGGAGCACCAATCCTGGGAGAAGGGTCAGTGTAGGGACCTGTGTTTCATTTGGGATGCAGGAGCACCCACCCTGGGATAGGGGTTCAGTTTAGGGACAGGATTATGAGCAGTGGCTGGAGGTCAAAGGTCGATGATTCCCTGTGCTCCATCAGTTTGGGATGCAGGGCTTCAGTGTCAAGACAGAATTCCCTCAGGGCTCATCCCCAGTGGAGAGCTGGAGTTTTTTATTCCCTGGGTTGATACTTCAGCACAGTTTTGGGGCAGATTTGGGTGTTGTGGAGTGTAAATTACACCAATTAATGCTTGGGGGGCCCCTCCAAAGCCAACTTCACCAGAGAAACCAAGGTCTGAAGGATGATATTCCTGATTTAGGGGAAATTTAGGCCACATTTATCTCTACATCATTACCTGTGTAACAGACATGATTCTCAACAGCAACCCTATTTTTATATATTTTAATAACAGCTTGTTATTCTGTTTTTCCTCTGCTTGCTGCTTGTTCCCTGTTTTATAATCCTGCCCATGGCAGGGGGTGGAACTGGAGGATCTTTAAGGTCTCTCCCAACCCAATACTGATATTTCAGGTATTTCTGACCCAACCTGAGCTCAGTGTCACTCTCAGTAGTTAGACCAGACCTAGAAATATTTATTATTATTATTATTATTATTATTATTATTTATAATATTTATTATTAATTTATCAGCCCAGGTGCTTGACCAGCCCATGATCTGTGAAAATAAATTGCAGAGAATAAAAATGACCTGCTCTTCATGGCCCTGGGTGGTTTGTTAGTCATAAGAATTCTGAGTTTGGCTGTTTGAATGTGTCGGGCCAAGGGCTGAGTTCTCCAGAAAATCCTGATGTTTGTGTTTAAAACGGGATTTTAGTGGTTTTCAGGGGTAAAAAAGTGAGAAATTGTGGGTTTGGGATCATAAAGGGGAAATGGTGGCTGTTAATAAATAAATCATTTATCCTACAGGGAGGTGGGACCAGGCAAAACCCAAATTCCTGCCTGTTTTCCTGAGTTTCAGTAAAAAAAATCTCACCTCAAGGTCCTGAGTGCTTGAAGTGGGGTAGAAACCCAAGGAATAGGATAGAAAAACAGGGATATTACAGCACTTATCCAAGTTTATCTGGATAACCCAGGGCAGATTTGCCTTGTAATCTGAATTTCATGGGGGTGTGTGTTAATTAATCGAGCCTGAGACGAGCTTGGAGTTGCCCAATAAGTCACACCGAGCTTTGTGCCATCATTTATTTTGTGACACTTCTCCAAAACCCTATTCCTGGTGGGATTTGGAGAAGCAGGATCCTGGGAATTCTGAGCTGGAGCACGAAAGGCACCGGGAGGAACTGGGAGGAGGGGCTGTGGGGAGCAGAGGGGGGTCATGGAGCCCGAATTTAAGGGTGGTGGGGCTGATCCCATGGGCTCAGTGGGGGTGACTCTGCTCTTCCCACTGCCCTTCCCAAAAAATACCCTCTCCTGGACAAAAGGCCGTGTTTGGTTCCCACTGAACATCATCCCTGTTGGAGTTCCTGGGCTTTTTCCTTGGCCCAGAAGCCAAAATCCAGGTTTTTTGGGAGCAGGATGTGGGCAGTGCCAGCAGGAAGAGCTGCTGCTCCAGCCACACACAGTGTCTGTGCCCACGAGCTGGGGACAGGGAATGTCTTGGGAACTGGAACCTGGAATCTCCAGTGAGTAACGTGGCGGTTCAGCCCAAATTCCTGGCCCTCCCTGGTGTGTTTTTCATGGAATATAAACGGGCAGGAGCCAGTTATGCCACGGCTGGAGGGGGTTTGGGTTCAGCTGGGTTGAGCTGAACCTCCCCACGGGGATGGAGCCGTGGATTCCCCACCCCTGGAAGTGCCCAGGGCCGGGTTGGAGCAGCCTGGGATAACTGGGAGAGGCGTCCCTGCCCCTGGCAGGGGGTGGCACTGGGCGAGCTTTGAGCTCCCTCCCGACCCAAACCCAGTCTGGGATCAGCATTTCGGGCTTTTCCTGGCGGGAACAACCCAGCCTGTTCCCTGCCACGGGGGTCCCAGAGCCCGCTGGTGAGCTGGGAATGGTGATTCCACGCCCGTGTCCGATGGCTGCCCCATTCCCTGCTCCCTGCTCCCGCTCCAGGGGTGTGGCAGAGGTTGCTGTTCCTGTGTGGTTGTGGGTTGGCCCCAGTACTGACAGCCTGCTTAAAGTTCTGCCCCCAGAGGACGTGGAGACCCGGGAGGTGGTGGAAAAGCTGGCCAGGTTCGTGGCTGAAGGGGGCCCCGAGTTAGAGAAGGTCGCTATGGAGGACTACAAGGATAATCCGGCTTTTTCGTAAGTCCGGGATGAGCGTTCCCAGCGGAAACCTTTGCCTTTCCCCAGGGAGGAAACGGCGGCCTTGGGGTGAATCCTTGGTTCCTGGGAGGGTGGGGAGGCCCTGGAGCTTAAAACGTGGGTTTGGCATCTGTGGGCAGAGCTCTGATCCAAGGATTTGTGTCCGAGTTTGTGTCCAGCCGGGATGGAGGGGGGATTCCCCGTCCTTGGAAGTGTCCAAGGCCAGGTTGGAGCAGCCTTGGGGTAGTGGAAGGTGTCGCTACCCGTTGGGATTTGGTGGAACTGGATGATCCTTCGGATCCTTCCCAACCCAAACCTGTCTGGGATCTTCATTCCAGAGGGTTTTTTAAGCCTCTGATGGGTGGAAATGACACTGGGAGTGAGTCCCCCCCTGAAGGGGATGATCCATCCAACCCAAAGCATTCCAGGATTCCATGATTCTGCATCACTTATTTCCAAAGGGTTTTAAACCTCTGACAGGGGAAGTGACACCGGGGGTGAATCCCCCAGGGATGGATGATCCTTCAGATCCCTCCCATCCCAAACTATTCTGGGATCATTTTTAATCCTCTGACAGGTGTAAATGACCCCAGGGGTGAGTGTCCCCCTCCCAGGGATGGATGGTCCTTCAGATCCCTCCCATCCCAAACTATTCTGGGATCTTTTTTAATCCTCTGACAGGGTAAAAAATACCAGGGGTGAGTCCCCCAGGGATGGATAATCCTTCAGATCCCTTCCATCCCAAACTATTCTGGGATCTTTTTTAATCCTCTGACAGGGTAAGTGACACTGGGGGTGAGTCCCCCAGGGATGGATGATCCTTCAGATCCCTTCCATCCCAAACCATTCCATGATTCCTTGGTGGATTTAAGCTCTGTTGGGAGTCACTGTTTTGTGGCTGAGGCAGAAGGTGCCCCCGTGGTGGTGCTGAGGAGGGAACAGAGCTCCTGTGGCACTTCCAGCACGTGGGAATGCTGGATTGGATCCCAGGAGTGGTGGGCAGAGGGTTCCCTCCTGTATCAGCACAGATTGTTCCTTATTTCCCTTCAAGTGAATCTGGATGCAAGTCCTTGGATCAGAGCTCTGTGTGTCCACAAATGCTAAATCCACCTTTTAAGGGCATTCTGAGTGATTTCCCTGTTTTTCCTTTGGGATTTGAGCTGTTTCTTTACCCCAGAATATCAATATTTAGGAGCTGCTGATCTGTGGGGGTGTTTTTTAGCTGTTTTTTTTCCCTCCATCTCCAGGTTTTTGCACGATAAGAACAGCAGAGAATTCCTTTACTACAGGAAGAAAGTGGCCGAGATAAGAAAAGAGACTCAAAGCTCTCAGGCATCCTCTTCCCAGAAAGGTAATTCCCACTGGGAGCTGGGGGAGATGAACTTCATGGGCTCAGCTGGGTTGGTTTTGCTGCCTTGTGACTGTGTCAGGTCCGTCCTGGGAGCACTTGGGGTGGATATTTGGATGTTAATGTGCTGCCTGAAAATCCTGTTTTAA